CTGTGGCCACACATTTGCTGAATGTGCGTGGGGATAGGGAATAGCCGAACGGCAGCCTGTTGTACTCGTAGGCTATCCCCTGGAAGGCAAAACGCAGATACTTTCTGTGCTCTGGAGCAATTTCTACATGAAAGTATGCGTCTTTCAGGTCGATGGTGGTGAACCAATCGCCTGGCTGCACAAGCCCAGTAACTGTTTCATAGTTACAATGCGGAATTTCCTGCAGGAAAAGTGGCGATTCAGGCCGCGGAGATCTAGCATAGGTCTGAATTCCCCTGTCTTCCTGAAACCAGGAAGTACATGGAATAAAGACCATTTTCTCTGTGCTGAGGGTGCACAACAGACACAGCCTGCTTCTGCACCAGAGCCCGCATCTCTTATGAGAGGAAACTCATCTCCTCCTGGGAGGACAGATTTACCTCTCGCATGCCCATAAAAGGAGGTGGGACGCTGCAAAACTGGAGTGAATAGCCCCGTTTCAGCGACCTGTCCATCCACCCTATTAGTACACAGCTGAGTTTCCATTCCCCATAACATTGTGTTTATGGACAAGCCCTCAGCTGTGGGGCCGCAGCTATGAAGCTGTGATGCTCTCTGGTGACCCGTTCCGCCGCAAAACTCCCCATGAATGGAAGATTTGCCCATGGAGGGTCGACACAGAAAGGGCCGATTATTTACTGAGGTACCTGAACGCACCGCCTCACGCTCCTGCGCGCGCTCCACCATAATAGAGTGGCGAAGTCACGCCCACTTACTTCCGGGTAATGGGACCTTATTTCGGAAAAATTATGCATTGAAGTCAATGGGGAGAGAAAACTTATCTTTCGATCCCGTTTGAATTGTGCCATGAATTACACATATGATGTTTGTCAATCTTAAAAAATAATTTCCATGTCAAAAAAGTCACAGTTTGTCGTAAAACTGTTGAAATATAAGACTATGAAAAATACGTAACTAGAAAGACTACAAATCCCAGAGTCGCGTAAGTGATGTCACAATTATTTTCTTCCACCATTCAGATACCTAAGATCAGCGCAATATAGATATAATCTATCTATATGGCGCTGGCTAAGATAAGATAACTTTAACAAGATGCCTGTGTGCTTATTACCAGGTTATTATTATACCAGCAATGGGTCTTGCTCGTTCTTTTGCTTCCCGTCTGATGAAACGACCAGGAGTGGCTTGATCAAGTTAGCTACCTAGCTAGTAGCTAGCACGTTAGTTAGCATTACAGCCTTGTCATTTTTATTAGCCTTAACATGAAGTAACATTAAGTAACCCAAAATGTTAAACAGTAAGAGTAGTAGTCATATTTCGTGAACCCTTTGAATAGTACTGTCACCGGTGTGATCATTCTATAATACACCATTTAAGCCCGGGGGAGAAATGCTAACGCTAACGTTAGCATCGGCGATCTTCTCTACTTCATGCACAAATGGTTGACATTAAACATTAAAACGACCAGGCAGTTCAGAGAGAATCAAAGGAAGGCAGGCAGGCAGCTTTGCATGACTTTCTTCAGGACGTGTTTCATTGTGGTTAGGGATGCTCCGATCGATCGGTCACCGATCGAGATCTGCCGATACTCACTCTCTACCGATCGATCGGTGCTCTCTAAACATGCCGATCGCGAGGGCCGATCGCATGACGTAAAATACATGACACTTTTCTCTGTACGCGGCAAAACAAGCTCGCCAAAATGGCTTCACCGGTCTGGCATTATTTTAAGGTGTCCGAAAAAGACAGTAAAATAGCGGTATGCAACGTGTGTGAAGCAGAAATCCTGCAGCTCCGCCCGCTGTGACGGACCGGTGAGCGGAGCAAAACACACAAGAGTTAGACCTAACACACTTAGCTATTTTATCTACCTCTGGAACAAGCTAAACTAGTTATAAATATGTTTATTCTTCACTGTCGGCCTCACACATTACTGGATCAGCGAGCTGCATGAGACGATACTGACGGACTGTCAGGAGAGGGAGAGAGGGGGAGAGAGAGGGGGGAGAGAGGGGGAGAGAGAGAGAGGGAGAGAGAGGAAAAAGAGAGCGCTTGCTAATTTCTCCCGTGGTATTATCCAAAGTGAATGTAAACTTGAATAATATACATAATTTGAATGTAATAATTAAGTTGATTGTTGTTTGTGGAAGCTCCAGTGAATGAGCCCCATTAACTGAGTTTTAAACATCACTTTAAATGGAAGATTTAAAGTGATGTTTAAATCTTCCATTTAGGCCCCGCCCACTCGATCGGATCGGCGATCGGTATCGGCAGATACTGATTCCGGCGATCGGCGATCGGCGATCGGCCCCAAAATTGGCGATCGGAGCATCCCTAATTGTGGTGATAGTGAGGATAGTCAATCGTTTTGTTGACAAGACAGTAGTGACGGCCATCTTGGTGACGTGTGTTGTTGACCAGAGATGTAGTTCATTGAGCGTTTCACACAAACAAATGTGTTAATTCACAGTTTTACGACACATTTTTTTTTTTTTGACTTGCAAAATTATCTTTTAAATTGACAAACATCATATGTGTAATTCGTGGCACAATTCAAACGGGATCGAAAGATAATCTTTCTCTCTCCATTGACTTCAATACATAATTTTTCCGAAATAAGGTCCCATGGAGGTCCACCGGAAGGGGAGGGACTTCGCCACTCTATGCTGTTCTCACCACTACGGTAAACAGCATTAATCTGAGTTTTTATAGGCGTAGTGTGTTTTTACTAAGGTCCCTGAACGCACCGCCACGCGCTCTTGTGTGATTGCGGGCTCCGCCATAATGCAGCCTTTACCACTACGGTAAACTGCATTAACTGGAGTCCTTGCTCTAGGCGTAGTGTGTTCTCTGACGGCAATACGCCGGCCATAATGTCGCTGTAACCGCATAGCGCTTTCCTTTAGATAGCACTCCCTGCGGTTCATCCCTCTCATCTGCGCATGCCCACTAGTCACCTCCTTTACAGGAGCTACAGCTGGGGCAGCGAATGGGGAATTTGTACGGTTAACATTGTGTGTAAGTGTAGCATTTGTGAAAACAAAAGACACCTAGATTTGGATACAGATCAACCTCATTTTTATTTAGAAAACGTAGTGATCTGTGCATTGTACAGGGAGGAGGCGGGATTCGCCCTCTCGTACCGGGCGGAGAGATTTTCTCCCCCCGCCAGACAGCTCCGTAAAGACGGAGCACACCACCCGGCCGCTCTCTGCTGCTGCGGAGCCTGCCGGGCCTGGGCAGCCCGTCCCCGTGAGTGCCGACACGCCGGTTCCACGGGGTGGGCCGAAGAGGTGGAGGGCACCGCGGGCATGGGATCTCCGTGCCGGCACCTCTCCCTTCGTCTCACCGTCACGCTGCTCTCTCTCGTCTGCAGCGGTGACTCTTCTCTCTACTGAGTTATTTGAACGCAGGGGGAGGGGGGCCACGCGCGCCGTCACAATGCCCTCTCTTTGAAACGGACATTATGGGGAAAAAATGGAATTGTGGAGAGAGATGACTCTTACTCTGGGATAAATGCAACCGTGTTTACTGAATGCATTTTCCCACACACACACCACTCCAGAACTAGAGTTTACAAACGTAAACCACCGTTCTCCTGCGGAGGTTCCTGAACGCACCGCGCCCACGTATTAACGCTGTATTTCCCATTCACCGGTGAAATGCATTAATCGGAGCTATTATACCAGGCAAGGTGTGTTTTCTGACAACAGCACGCCGGCATTGGCGTCTCTTGAACCCGCACAGTGCTTTGACAGCACTCGGTTTATCCCACTCACGTGCACATACCCACCTGCTGGCTCCCTATACTGTGGTTCACAGCAGAGGCGGGGAGTGTATGACAGTGTTTCTTCCTCTGGGGATGGGCAAGAAGCAGCCACGCTGCGATTACTCCTTATCCCGTGAGCAAGGAGATCGATCCAAAGAGCCCTTCCGTAAACACGGGGGCTCCCAGGAGATCAACACGGTCCTCTTTGGAAAGTGCCATGCGGCGTGATATCCCAGGGACATCACACGGCAGGCAGCGGCGGCGGCCTGTGATGAAGTAGGGTCGCCCCCAGTGGCGGCCGGTCCATAGGGGCGCTAGGGGCGCCGCCCCACCTCTTCCCATATTAAAAAATAAAAATAAAAATAAAAATAAAAAATATATTTTAAAAAATATATATATTTTTATTTTTATTTTTAATGAACAAGGTAAATATTATATAATTGGTATCAGTAAAATGTATAATCTACAATAAAATCTCGTTTAAAATTGTGTTACGATGTCTAAAGTTACTGATAAGTCACATGTTTCCTGCCTGGCCTTGCCCGTGTACCTTCTCTCGTCTGGGGCGCTAAGAGAGGAGCCCTCAACCAGTGCAGCAGCAGCCACTAGCAGCTGACTGTTGCTATCTGTAACGTGTAAACTATGCCGCGAAAACATAATTTCAGCCAATCAGCGTCGTCAAATATGACGGTCACGGGGCGCCAATGTCAGCGCCCCGTGCAGTCTGTGAGTAGTTTGGACAGTGACTCGTATCCGGTTGACGCAGTAGTTGATGAGGATGGCTTCGTGTGCAGGTGGAGTCTCCGGACCTCGGTCCCCGCCTAATTCTGTTCAAGAGCTAATCTCCAATCCTTTCGAAAGGAGAAGTTTGGCAGATAAATTGTTGCTTAAAGACCTTGGACCGGACCAACCCGATTTGAATATATCGCAGCAATCTCGTGAAAAAGACAAAACTTATACACGAGGCTTCGCAAGTAGCTGGTACACAAAAAAGGCTTGGCTAGCTGGATGCAAACAGGTAAATGCTGTCTTTTGTTTCCCATGCTTGCTCTTCAAACAGCCGGGGACAGATACGATGTGCCCGTGGACTGTGATGGGAGTACATGATATGAAGCATTTGTCCGAAAGAATTAAAAAGCACGAGTGCACGAAAGCACACATGACAAACACCTTTAAGCTAGCCATGCTAGGCAAAGCTAACATAGCCGCACAGCTAGATCAAGGGTACAAGATGTCGGTGAAAAAGCACAATGAAGAAGTGGACACGAATAGGCACGTCTTGTCTAAAATAATTGATTGTGTGAAATTTTGTGGGGGCTTTGACCTGGCTTTGCGTGGCCACGACGAGACTGACACATCCGACAACCCCGGCGTTTTTCTGGGTTTAGTTAATCTACTGGCCTCGTTAGATAGCGTGTTGGAGGATCACCTTAAAACGGCTACGGTTTTCAAAGGCACCTCAAAGACGGTGCAAAATGAACTTTTGGACTGCATGTTATCAGTTTGTAAAGACTACATTCTGGAGGAAGTAAAAAATGCCAGTTATTTAGCTATTCAGGCGGATGAGACAACTGACATTTCCACCCACTGCCAGTTAGTGCTTGTGCTACGCTACATCGACCCGCATAACAACGTCCAGGAGCGTTTTTTTTGAGTTCATTCCTCTTCAGAATGCGAATGCTGACACAGTTGCCACCGCGCTGATGGAGAGGCTGGGCACTATCCTCCCAGATGGACAACAGGGCAAACTAATCGCCCAAGCCTATGACGGTGTGCAGCGGTGTGATGAGGGGAGCTAAAGGTGGCGTTCAGCGGAAAGTGAAGGATGTGTACAGTAGTGCGCACTACATCCACTGCTATGCGCATCAGCTGAACCTAATTATGCAGCAGGCAACATCCCACATCCCCAAGATAAGAACATTTTTTTCAGACCTTGGTGGATTTGCTGCATTTTTCTCCAGGTCATTCAAGCGAACTGCGATCCTGGATCAAGTGGTGGCACACAGACTTCCTGGCACTTCCACAACAAGATGGAACTTTCACAGTCGTGCTGTTAACACTGCATATGAGCACAAGGAGAACATCCTGAGGTGTTTCCAGACGATCAGAGACTCAGGTGACTTTGATCCCATAACAGTGAGAGAAGCCGGGGGCTTTGTGCGAATGATGGAAGATGAAGTTTTTTGCTTTTTCCTGACATTGTTCCACAAGATCATGCCACATGTAGACATGCTGTTTAGCCAACTGCAGAAGAGGAACATCGACTCTGTCTACATCACAGGACTCATCAAGAGGTTCACCAGCAGCATACAAACAATCAGGTAAATCATTATTTACAATGGCTGAGATGTGCTTATTATAGGAAATCTGTGAAACCTAAATGTGATTTAGCTGAACACAATAGACCAACTCACACATACTTGTTTAAATATCTTAAACGGGCTTACTGGAAATGTATATATTATATAACGTTTATAAGGTGTATCTCTGACTACTATTTCAAATAGTCAAGTTAATTTGTCAATTCTTGCCACAATGAGTAATTGTACATGGTTACTTGTGGTTTGGATCAGGGACTCCATTCCTTCTGGTGAAAGCAGTGGATCTCAGCAGCTGCCCACAAAGAAACGGAGGGGACTTGGACATGAAGAGCAACAGCTGTTGGCTAGAGAGGTAAGCAGTAATAGGAACGTGTTCTATGACTAAAAGCTCCTTTCATAATATAGGTCATTTCATATAACAATAATGATACATTTCACAAGAAAGCCCATTTTCTGTAAATTAAATAAATAGGTAGGCTAGTTAAAATATCCACATGGAAAGGCCTATTGCTTATTACATTCTGAATTGTATACACTTAACAAGGCCTAAACTGCAAAAAGTGTCCCACAGTCTCTACATTTCAAAGGGGATCAAGACAGATCAGAAAAGGTTTAGGCTTCCAGAAGCAACCACAGTGGACAGAAAGGGCCCAACAATAAATGAATGAAGTGTAAACATAGTCATTAAATGTATATATTGTAGTGACTTAATTTTAAACAGTAATATTGTTCTGTTGATGCTCAGATAGATGTCCTGTTATTCTGATAGGTTCCATTCACAAGAAAGCTCTTTGTTTGTTACACATCTTATAGGGAACACTAATGACATTATGACTGATAGATGTGAAAAGGTGATTCTGTTATTTATTATGTCTTGATTTTTTCATTGTGCATTATTTCATAGGTATGTGATACCATACTGAGTCACGCAAAGGAGAGATTTTCCTTCACCAAACACCTAATCAGCTCCACCCTCCTGCAAGGAGACCTGTTCCAGCAGCACAGCCGAACATTCCCTGAAGCAGCGCTGGAAACAACTGTGGAGGCCTACCCTCTACTGGACAAGGCAAAGCTCAAGACGGAACTGTCCCTCGTCTATGACAATGACCAGTTCAGGGCTTGCAGTGGTGCTGTTACTCTGCTCCAGTTCTTCATTGACAATAATCTGCAGGAGACATTCACAGAGACTGTCAGTCTTCTGAAGGTTCTTGTAACCACACCCATGGCTACGGCTGAGGCAGAGAGGTGCTTTTCCACTCTGAAAAGGATAAAGACTTTCTTGAGGAACAGCATGACACAGGATCGCCTGAATGCTCTGGCTATGCTGTCAATTGAGAAAAAACTCATTAGGAGCATTCCTGACTTCAACACCAGAGTCATTGAGAGGTTTGCCACTCAGAAGGAGAGAAGGGCAAAATTCCTCTACAAATAGACACACACACACACACACACACACACACACACACACACACACACACACACACACACACACACACACACACACACACACACACACACACACAAGCTCTCGCAGCAAACACAGATGGCCGACCCTTAAAAAAATGCGTTTCATTAGAGAGACAATTAAACGGCCGCAGAATGTTGTGAAGTTACTTTTGGATACCTAAGATGTTTTGTTCAACCACAAAGTCCAGGAACATGAGTACTGTTTGGAAACCTGTTGCGTTCGACTCATTTTCCCCAGAGGAACAGTTGTTTCTTGTTTCCTTTTGTTTTTGTCTTTTTTCTGCCTGTTGCACATTTTGTTATTCAAAGCAGTAAAAAAGGTGCTATCGGCCAATAAGCTGGATATCACTTTATATGTAGAGAGGAGGTTTCCCATGGTTGTTAGAAGTGTATTAATAAGTGGGCATTTATCACAGAAGTGATTGTTCTGTCTCCACGTTTGTTGCATTGTCTGTGATGTATTTTCCAACGGTTATAGCTCCTGTTCTGTCCCAGCAACACTACACGGTTTGCAGCTCCACCACATTTTTGGTTTATCTTCGGTGTCGCTTAAAATCTGCTTCCCATCGGACTAAAACCTCCACGTAATCTGAAGACAGATACTTGTTATTTAAACCTTTTGCAAACTTTATGTTCTTTCTTGCTCTAGCCTTGCCAGTTACATTGTACATAACACATATATTATCATTATGCTAACTGGTTGTTCGTGTTAGACGATGTAGCTTTTTCATTTCTGAGTTATTGCTATATGTAAATAAGCCTGTTTGTAAATAATCCTCAGAGAAACAAAGAAAAAAACACAATTTATGACATTTTGTGCTGTGGTTATTTTTTTTAAATTGCATTTATTCACAGTTCAGTTTGAAATGCTGTAGTGACTTGTATTGAACCACTTAAATATTTATAATTAATGCTACTGAAAAGATGCTATTAATTTTATATCTCACATGCAGTTCACTGTAAAGCCACTTGGTGGAGGTGTTGGTTCATAAAACATGAAGGGAACATGAACAATTTTTCCGGGGAGAAATCCCCCGGACCCCCCCAGGTTGGTCACTTCCGGTACGTCAAGAGCCCCACCAAAAAAATAGACCACCGGCCGCCACTGGTCGCCCCTATATCATGTGAAGCCACCGAGGCCTGGGGCAAGGCCCGTGGACCAAGCTACTTATTCGGCCTTGCGGCCCAATAATCGCTCTGACCTTGTGAGGCGGGGGCATCTCTAGCAATGAGCGAGTAGCCCACACACCCGCCGCCATGATCATCATCCAGGGAGAGTACAGCCCTGGGCGGTGGACTTCCATGGACGCCGGACCCGGAAGGAATGGTGAACGTGAATTGCACCGCCTCGGCCATATCCTGGCACACTCGAAGCAGAGGTGGTGGGGATCGACGCCCGCTATTTAATCCAGGGCATGATTTCAAAAATTACTCGTTTACTTTGTTCCTTTCTCTCAAATAATACGTCTCGGACTCAGTGCTAGGCTATCACCTCCGCTCGCTGAAGAGTAAAGGATAGTGGTCAGGAGGCGAGGCCTCCTTTTATACGGAAGTGAGATGCGCACGCATTCAGGTAAACCCGCCCCGGGGCCGGCTACGTCTATAGAAATCTCAGTAGGTGAATGCTTGCATGAGAGGGTAGTACCCATAGAGTCCAGTAGAGGGCGGAGCCTGTGAGAGATATAACTGGCAGGTACAGAGGAAACTGTTTCAATAGGCTATGTCTATGAAAACACTGAACAAAACCAAAGGAAATGTAATGACAACAGTATAAGCAAGCTATGTTCATGTTCTCTCAATAAGTTACTATAGTTATTGATCAGAGTTTAATCCATTTGAGGTCCACCCTCAAATAAAACATGTTCACATGGAAAGGTTCCCAAATACATATGCACACTTTTTTTTTAACAATATCCTATGTCCATATGTTTCTATTTAAGTAGTAGATTCAAACAGTAGGGCTATCACTAAGGGCAGCAACGTTGTAAATATATATACATCCAGCAAAACGCCCCCAAACAAAACTGGTAGTGGCCTGGCTGGGTGTATAATTCCCGGCCTGACCTATGGTCCCAGTCCGGCCCTGCTGACACATCACACACCCGTACGCTACACACATTACTGATTAACTGATATCACAATTGAGTTATTCTCTTTAAATAAATATATTGTAATTGGAAAATAATCATGTGTGGTGTCCTTGTTTTGTCCGTCCTTGAGCCAGGGCTCCCTATTGTTGTATGTAGGTTATTCTTGGTTTTAGAATGAATTCAGTAATGGTGTGTGTGTAACACAAACATAATAAATCATTGGATAGTGTTTCTATATAATAGAAATAAACTAATGTATTAAGACTCAGTGCGAGTTATTACTTTCTTCCTTTACTTGGCATTCTTCAAAAATACACAGACATTGCAGCACATCGTTTCACGTCTTTGTACAGCCTTTCTCAGCATTAAAGTGCAATGTGTTGGCGAACCTTTGTTTCCTCCTGACAGCTCACTAAAAGGTATACTCAATTCAATTCAATAGCTTTATTAGCATGACCTCAGTTACATATAGTATTGCCAAAGCTCTGTATAGTTGCAACATCTATACAAAAAATATATATATACAATATATATATACTCCCCCTTGTGGCCAAAGGGGGACACAACTCTTGTCTTCAGATGTATGCTTGAGTGCAACAAAATGTAGCACAGTGACTATTTTGTCAACTAAACATCATAAAACAATACATATTTTAGTAAACGTGACATTATAATCTCCGCACATTAACTCTATATTTGCCTCTGCCATGGTGCCAAAATGAAATGAAATAAACAATATATAGGGGTTGCCTCTTCTCTGAACTTCTATGTATACTGCATCCCTCCAAATCAAATAAACCATACACAAATACATAAAGTCGTGTTCACTGCAGCGATCTATTTCACACACAAAACTATATGAAAACTTGGTGATATACAGTGGCGTTTTCTCCTGGAGACCAAGGGAAGACAGGCTTCTCCTGTTTTTTCAGCCTTTGTTATCATTTTGATAATTAAAAATATATATTCTTGTCTGTGGTTGTTTTTGCATTCAGGGCATACAAGAGGTGTAACATTATTTTAATACCAAAACTATATTGAAATAGAGTCTAGCTTGAACAGCAACGTAGCTGTAACATTACTGGGCTATTTGGTGATAACTACCAAAGTAAAGTAACTTCAGACGCAGACGTCACGTAGCTTCTCAGACGAGAGGGGTGGCGACGAGATTGTCACGTCACTTCTCTCGCGGCATAGTTCACGGCATGGTAGGCGACGATCAACACGATTGTCTGCTCAGTGAGTTCGTTCATTGGCACAAATCACACCTCATTTACTTGTGTTCGTCTGCACATAGTTTTTGATTAAATTGACGAGTAGAAGAGAGGAAAAAAAAAAGTATAAAACCCCTAACACACACACACAATGGCAGATGCAAGTATCAGCGAGAGCAGCAGCGCATTTACAACTTGGAGATATAACCACTATTTTCAATTTGTGGGGATAAAGGACGCAAAAAATATTACGGTCAAATGTAAACTGTGTGCAGGACAGAAAGCATTGTCCACATCGAATAACAGCAATGCCAATCTCCTGAAGCACCTAACTAATGTACATGGGGCTATAAAACTAGTCTTACTGTGCCACAGAACAACACAAAAACTTGGATTTTTATTGTTATTATTTTTAAAGTAAAGTAAAGTAACTTGTTACTAGTTACTTTTATAATTTAGTAACTAATAAAGTAACTAGTTACTTTTTTGAGAGCAGTAACTATAACTATTACTAGTTACTTTTTAAAAGTAACTTGCCCAACACTGTTCGCCTGTAAATTACATCCGCACGGAGATTCGGTTCAGTTGGACCACATAATGTAACGCAGTAACGCACCCATTTAAATCACAGTAACTATAACGGCGTTACTGAATGGGAATAGGTAACTAGTAACGTTATTAGTTACCGCAAAAGGTAGTTGCGTTACAGTAACGCGTTAGTTTGTAACGCGTTAGTCCCAACACTGTTATAGGGCTGCGAGATTATGGCCAAAAGTATGCTGTACATTTCACTGTAAACGATTGAATCATCACCAAAAGTCGATGTTATTATGACCGATCAGAACTCAGCTTTATGCACACACACATACATTTAGCTTGTTTTAGGAAACGGGCTCCGTGTTACAGGACGGGTCGCGTGGTTTCGCGCCTCCGCTGCAGACTCTCCTCAATGAGGAGCAGCGTCCGGGCGGGGGGGCTGCGGGCTGCAACTCCTGATCGGAGCAGAGACACACGCTCACTAAGCCAAAAAACGATATCCGGTCAGAGAGATCTGCTATTTGAAAGTAAAGTCAACACATATTGACCCTAAATATAGTCTATATTAAGAACGAAACAAGTTTTAACATATAGTTTTTTGTATATGACAAATTTGCGAGGGTGATGATGTCAGAGCATCGTCCTATGTGCCGGGGATTAGCCCCGGACAGCCCCGGCCCAATTTAACCCCTGGATGTAAGTCACTATATTACTATATATTATACATTTACTTTTCTCTCGCTTAATTTGAGGTTTTGCCATAGCCAATATAATGCTCATTGTTACAATATTGTGTATTGTTTAAGTATTATTGTTAATTTAGGAATTGCAATAATGACTGAAAAAATGATGACCTTGCAATTTGTCGTGTTTTCATTTCAAGTTTGGAACAGTCAATTAAGATGTATGTGTCTTTGTTATTAGGCTCATGGAGAAACCCTCGATGTGATCCTGAAAGGAATGCAGGTTGGACTGTTGATTGGACATGAAGGCCCTCTGCTTGACTCATTTCCTCTGGAAGTCTTCAATGTGGCTGTGGTGGTAGAAGAGAAGATCATCCTACATGACCTCCGAGATGTGCCCACAGGCTTCGCCATGTTAATGGGGGCAATCTACTGCCTCAACTTTGAGTAACCCCGCAACATGAAATACTCTTTTGAGTTCCTTCAAAAGGTCATCATGACCATCAAACCAGACCAGTGCTCCGCAAGAATCCATGGACTCAGAAATAAACTGCTGAGATATCATCTCTAAACAAATGACTGTGTCATAGCTCCTGGAAGAAGGGAGTTTCTGTTTTGGACTGTTATTCTACATATTGTTCTTGTTTTCAGCAGTGTAGTTTGTAAAGTGTAGGTCAGATATGAACACAGCTGCTGAGATTGTTAACAAATTAATGCACATTTCAAACCCTTATTGAGAGGAAACTGTTTTTGGGGTCTCCTACATTGTTCAACTAACATTGTTCATCTATTGTACATCTAACAAACATAGTTTGTGTATCCAGCAATATAGTTTGAACAATAGAGTGCCACAGTGAGAGTGAAAAACAGG